ATATACGTACGTACACACACACACACACACACACACACACACACACACAAATAGATATACATATATACATACATACATACATACATACACACATACACCATGTTTCTCCAAAAATAAGACAGGGTCTTATTTTATTTCGACCCCCGAAATAAGCAATTAGCCTTATTTTCAAGGAGGTCTTATTATTTTGAGGTGCAAGAGGCGGCCAGCATGGCCACCTTATGGCTGCTGCTGTGTTGCAATATTTTCGGGGAGGGCTTATTTTAGTGCATGCGCTCAAACGCCCGATTGTGTTTATTATCCAGGGAGGTCTTATTTTTGGGGAAACAGGGTATATATGCACATACACACAACCACACACACACACACAGAGACAAGCTTCAAGACTGCAATTTTTAAAGAATGAATGTAAGCCCATTTGCAAAGGGAATTTCGTTCCTACTAATACATTAGCACTTCTTAAAAAGTTTTTTTAAACTGCAGTCATGCATGAAACCAAGATAATTCTACCTTCCTGCATGCTGATGAAAAAAAATCTGGTTCAGTTTGAAATCCACTCTTTGAGATCCACTTAAATTCCACTTGATTCCTCTTGAATCAAAAAGAAATCAATTCATTTAGAAATGGTAACATTGGTAGAGGTAGTCCTCAGGTTATGACTGCCATCAAGACAAGAATTGCCATCGCTAAGCGAGTCTTGAAAGTGCAAAGTCCTGGGGACCACATTGCTTAGCGACATTAATCCCAGCAGTCTCGGTTACTGTCATAACCCCAAGATGCACTGGTTATGAAATGAGAAATGGAAGTTAAGGAGTTAAGGAGCACAAGGGGGCTTTGTTAACCAGTTAAGGAGCACAAGGGGGCTTCGTAAGGACAGAAGAGGCCCTGTGCAGGTTGCATATGGTTTAGGATAACCCGAGGAAGGACAGTGCAAGTACAGGAAGGCCATGGGGTGTTGGGCATAATGCCACGCAAACATGGACAGGCTAGTAAGTGGCACGAACACAGAAGAATGAGAGGTACCTACCAGATCCCCTTGTGAACTTTCCTGCAGGCTTCCCCGCTGACTTTCCTTGTTGGAGGCCAGCAAGGAAATTCACAATGGTGATCCTATAACCACGGCTCTCTGTGATGCCATAATCATGAGCCTGACACCTGCGTGCCCAGTTTATATATTGCAATGGCCAAAACCTCAAGGATCAGTCATATGTTCCTTTTTCAGCATCGCTGTAATTCTGAATAGCCATAGCAACAGCACTTAGACTTATATACCGCTTTACAGTGTTTTTACAGGCCTAAGCGGTTTTACAGAGTCAGCTTATTGCCCCCAACAATCTGGGTCCTCATTTTATCCACCTCGGAAGGATGGAAGGCTGAGTCAACCTTGAGCCAGTGAGGATCAAACTCTTGGCAGTGGGCAGAGTTAACCTGCAATACTGCCTTCTAACCACTGCACATCATGGATGGATGGATGGATGGATGGGAGAGAGGGAGGAATAGCAATAGCACTTGGACTTATATACCGCTTTACAGTGCTTTTACAGCCCTCTCTAAGCAGTTTACAGAGTCAGCCTACTGCCCCCCAACAATCTGGGTCCTCATTTTACCCACCCTGGAAGGATGAAAGGCTTAGTCAACCTTGATCCTGGTGAGATTCGAACTGCCAAATTGCAGGCAGCCATCACCACGGCTCAAGAATGGTCACTGAATGGATATAAGCCAAGGACTACCTATAAAACTTAATTCTTTAGCTACCCTTTTAAAACACGCACTATTAAAGGAGGATATTTGTAGCTCAGGGTTGACATGAGGAGTCCTTGGTGCTCTCTGAGCTTGGTTGTTTTCTTGCCGACATTTCATTGCAAACTAGGTAGTATCATCAGGGTTACCAGTGTTACCGATAATGTTACCTAGTTTGGGTAATGAAAAGTCTGCAAGAAACAACCAAACTCAGAGCCCATCAAGGACCACTCATAAAAACACACTGGATATAACTTCTAGTGTCCAATTAACATGATTTTAAGCTATTGTGACAGGTTAAATATTGAATGGGGTGGAAGGGTGGAATAATGGATGGAATAATGGAATGATGGAATAATGGATAGCTGGATGGATGGACGGATAAGCAAACGAGCAACATATAAATATCATCTGATTTCGAAGCATTTGTACACACATGATGAATATCTTATCAATGTGACTATATTCTGATCTTATTTTGAGATATTAACAACTGTGCTACTAATTGTGAAAAGAGAAGTTCCTTCCAGTTTATGTAGTAGATCGACCAAGCCATGCATGCTAAATTATGTTTTACATGTACAGCCACTGATTAATAATTATTCTCACCAATTAAAGAAAGCTTTAACATCACAGGCTCTTCTTTATGGAGATTAACTATAGGCTGCATCAAATGCCAAAACAATAAAATGACAACTTTATTTGGTACACCTCACTACTACATATGTTTAGCAAATGCACAATTGCTTTTGTTAAGACTAGTGTAGCCTCAAAACATGGCAAATGTATCTTAGGAACAAGCAAAACAATGAGACAGTTCCATTCAGATGCCGCAAGTAAACTATATTATACTATAACTATACTATAGTTTATATTCCTCATTTAAAGTGCACCATTTGACTAAGTAAATTACAATCAAGCAGGATATGTAATTTTGGAGACACTTAATGCTTTCGCAAACCCTAAATAAGCTTATCCTGTTTCCCCAAAAATAAGACATCCCTGGATAATAAGCCCAATCAGGCTTTGAGCCCATGCGCTAAAATAAGCCCTCTTGGAAAATATTGCAACACAGCAGCAGCCATTAGGTGACCAAGCTCGCTGCCTCCTGCACCTCAAAAATAATAAGACCTCCCGGAAAATAAGGCCAAGTGCTTATTTTGGGGGTCAAAAGAAAATAAGATCCTGTCTTATTTTCAGGGAAACACGGTACTTAACCATGATATGATGCAATAGCTGAACTGAACCAGTGCATTAAGCCATTTTTCTTTTCCATTACACATGGATTATCTCATTAACATGACCAAGCTGTATTTCAGTCTATTATTTATTAGTGTTGTACAATGTTTTTCAATTTGACTCAGAAGAGGTGCTCTGTAATTTAGAGAAGCATGAACACAGAATTTCTTTGGCTGTCATTAAAGCCACAAATGCACAGCAATATCAATTCTGGAAACAGATGTACATTAAAACACCTAATCACATCTAAACTGTAAACTAAAGTAAACTGTAATCTCGGGGAAAATTCATTTTCCTGCTACCTACAGCCATAAGGTAAAGGTTCCTCTTGCACACATGTGCCAGTCGTTCCCGACTCTAAGCGGCGGTGCTTATCTCCATTTCAAAGCCGAAGAACCAGTGCTGTCCGAAGACGTCTCCGTGGTCATGTGGCCAGCATGACTAAATGCTGAAGGCTCACAGAACGCTGTTACCTTCCCACCAAAGTGGTCCCTATTTTTCTACTTGCATTTTTACATGCTTTCAAACTGCTAGGTTGGCAGAAGCTGGGACAAATAACGGGAGCTCACTCCGTTACCCGGCGCTAGAGATTCGAACCACCAAACTTCCAACCTTTCTGATCGATAAGCTCAGCATCTGAGCCACTGTATACCTGCAGCCATACCTCTATGCTAAAGGACAGGTAGTTTAGGAGCATGAGGCTGGTGACTATGGTACAGATAGTCCTTGACTTACAACTATTTGTTTAGGGACTCTTCGACGTTACAACAACACTGAAAAGAAGTGACTTACAACTTCATCCTTGTGCTTATAACTAATGCAGCATCTCCACAGTTACAGGATCAAAATTTAGGTGCTTGGCAACTAGTGTGTATTTTAAATATACTTACAGATTGCAAATGCATGCCAGTTGTATTTGCACCATCCTGGTGCCATATGATCATTATTTGTGACTTCCCCAGCCAGCTTCTAACAAGTAAAGTCAAGGGGAGAATCCAAATTTGCTTACTGACTGCACGATCCATTTATCAACTGTGGCAAAAAAGGTCGTAAAATTGGGCATGGCTCACTTAACAATTGCCTTGCTTAACTACAGAGATTCCAGTCTCCATTGCAGTCATAAGTCAAGGACTATCTGTAGCAACATCTATTGTCTTCCTCTCATCCTTTCCAAGAATGCTTGCAAGTAATCTATAGGCGATGACCAGGCTGAGCCCGAAGGAGAAGTCAAACGCGTCATCAGTCATGAGTCCTTTCGCACCCAGAGGAGATCTAAGTCCAGCCCACCTTGAATTCCTTTGACTCTTATATACCGCCAATTTGCTTTGATTGTTACTTAGTAGTTCAGATTCTTATAGAGAATTTAAAAAATAAAAGCAATAAATCCTTGCACTCCCCGCGGCGGTTGACATGATCAGTTCCAATATTTACAGTGATGCCATGAAGGCAGATACTCACAAAATCCTTCTATCTTGTCTGCCGTTTTGCTCCAAGCCACCTGCCTGGTTTCCATAATGACCTGAATTGTTCTTCTCTCTGGATTACTTTTCTTCAGGCTGTACACAGTCATCACAGTCCCCAGCTCCAGGGTCCTTTTGATCTGACTCTTCTCATACTCAGGGAGCTGCCCGTACTCCATACTTCGGCTGGACATTTTCAGGTTGAAGAGAGCCGATCTTCAGAACAAGGCTGGAAGGGAAGCAGGGAGGAAGAGAGATGAGATTATTTTAAACCTGGCCCTTTGGGGTTACAAACGATTTTGCTGTAGTTTCCTCTTGAAAAGACAAAAGAATTTCAAGAAGTGAAACTAGTCTTGCGTGAACCAATCGCTCCTGAGGTCAAGGTTGAAAGGTTCTCCTCTGGTCCCGGACTACTGCAACCAAAGGTTTTATCCAAATTCGGTGCCATAGAAAAAAAAAACATGCCAACACCTTGCTGTTATAGAAGCAGAAGTGAGCCAATTGCTGGCTAACATAAAACAATTCTAATGCTGATTAACGTATAGCCCAGGGGACGGCAATCTTAAACACTCAAAGAGCCATTTCGACCCATTTCCCACAGAAAAGAAAACACCGGGAGCCACAAAATCCTTCCCTCACCTGACCATTTCCTGAGCTCCCACAAAACAAGCATAATTATTTGAATTTAAAGGTTCTGTTTTCTTTTGAAACTTTTCTTTTGTTGGATTTATCCATGGTTGGCCTCCTGGGGGTCGAAAAGGTCAATAAAGTGCATGTTGGCGGGTGTCGTACATTAGCAGTTGTGACACATATTTTGTTGAGCAACAGGGAGCCGCAGCAGAGAGATGAAAGAGCCGCAGGCAGCTGACTCCTGGTCTAGAGCGAAACAGAAGAAGGCTGGTTATCGACAACAAACTGAACGCGAGCCAGTTGTGTGAGAGAGCTGCTAAAAGAGCCAACACAATCCAGGAATAAATTTCACTGTATCAAAACCAACATTCTAATTTTCCTCTACTCTGTGCTGGGGGGGGGGGGCGTGATGGCTCAGCAGTTAAAAGATGCAAAGCTTGTCAGCTGGCAGCCCAGTTTCGAGACCTGAGTGCTCTGCGATGGGGTGAGCTCCCGTTACTTGCTCTAGCACATCTAGCAGTTCAAATGAATGTAAATGAGAGTAGATAAATAGGCACCACTTCAGTGGGAAGGTAACAGCGTTCCGTGCACCATGGCATATAGTCATGTTGGCCCCATGACCATAGAAGCGTCTTCCGACAATACTGGGTCACATGGCTAAGAAACAGAGATTGCACCATCCCCTAAAGTTGGACCTGACTGGACAGGGGAAACCTTTATCTTTACTTTGTGTCGATGAGACCTGAAAGTGGACAATTGTGGATAAGAACCATGGTGGCAGAGTGGTTAGAGTGCAGTACTGCAAGCTACTTCTGCTGACTGCCGGCTGCCTGCAATTTGGCAGTTTGAAGCTCACCAGGCTCAGGGTTGCCTCAGCCTTCCATCCTTCTGAGGTCGGTAAAATGAGGACCCAGATTGTTGGGGTCAATACACTGACTCTGTAAATTGCTTATAAAGCGGTATAAAAGTCTAAATGCGATTGCTATTCTGGCACTTCGTTTCCAGAAGAATATCTGGACACAGTAGAACGGGTTCAGAAAAGGCCAACAAAAATGATTGTGAGATTTTAGGCATGCACTATGAGGACTTGGAACCTGTGATGTTCAATCTGAGAGACGAATCAGAGCGGGGGGAAGACATGGCATTAATGTTCATATACATAAAAGGTATAATAGAGATTATGGGCAAGGACTCTTCTCCATTGCTCCCACAAAAATTGGGACAAAAATATAACAGGTGTTAAGTTATAGATACCTAAATTCATTTAATTTTAAAGAACAATTCTTGCTAGTTTGATCTATCCACATAAAACAGTAAGGCTGTGGAGCAGGGAAGGGTTCCGAATCCTGTTGCAACCGGTGCAATGGGGCCCGTACTGGGGCATACCAGTCATAAACCACCACTGGTGTGGAGGTTGTGGGTTCTCCATCGCTGGAGAATTTTAAGAAGTCTGGACAGTCACCACTCAAGGATGATTAAAATGAATCTTTTCAGAAGATGGATCATTTTTGTGGCTCCATCCAACTCCACAATTCCACAATTCTAAATAATGAATAAAAGATAGAAGTGCCTCTCGTTCATTAATTGGTAATTAAAGAAAATCACTGTCCATGATATTTTAGGTCCTGTCTCTCACTCACTACCATCCTCATTCTAATCAGGAGAGGTGTCCAACCTTGGCAACTTTAAAGACTTGTGGACTTCAACTCCCAGAATTCCCCACAGGCCATGGGGAAATTTGGAAGTTGTAGATCACATATCTTAAAGTTGCCAAAATTGGATGGCTCTCTTGATCTAGAGTAAAGGTGATGGTGTGCTTTTTCAAACTGCAGTACCAGATTTGGTACAACAACATCGTGTTTGGCTCTTTCCTCTTGCAAAATGATGAGTAGGTTGAATCTTAAGAATTAATGAAGATATCATTTCCTAAAATGCAACAGATCTGTTACAACTTATGAGAGGTCTACCAGCCAACCTGGAGCAGATGCCTGGGCAAAAAAAATATGCTTTGGCCCCAAATTCACTGCCCTAGAACAGGGGTGGGTTTCAGCCGGAGTTACTGCCCGTTCGCTTGTGTGTACGGCTCACATGCACAGTTCAATGGAAATTATTCTGCGCATGTGCAGAACTCAAAAAAATGATGGTGACAGCAGCAACCGGGGAACCGGTTCAGGGGCGTGGCCAGCCTGGGTCACTGCCCGTTCTGCAACCCAGGCCGGCATACCACTACCATTTTGGCTAAACTAGGCCGAACCGGTAGCAACCCACCTCTGCCCTATAATGGTCCATGGCCTATGCTTCCATCCACACTTCAAGTACTTGTATTCTAGCCATTATCTCTCAAAACTTGTAGCCCACCTCTAGGTTGCATAAAAAGAAGGACAGAATCAAGCTCACGTGAAGAGTTAATACCACTTTGTAATGCCTTGATAAGGCCACACATGGAATACTGCATCCAGTTTGGTTGCCACAATGTAAAAAAGATGTTTAGACTCTAGAAAGAGTGCAGAGAAGAACAGCAAAGAGGATTAGAGGACTAGAGGATAAAACACACGAAGAACAGTTGCAGGAACTGGGCATGATTAGTCTAGTGAAGAGAAGGACTAGGGGAGACGTGATAGCAGTGTTCCAATATTTCAGGGGCTGCCACAAAGAAGAGGGAGTCAAGCTATTCTCCAAAGCACCTGAGGGCAGAACAAGAAGCAATGGGTGGAAACTAACCAAGGAGATAAGCAACTTAGAACTAAGGAGAAATTTCCTGACAGCAACAATTAATCAGTGGAACAACTTGCCTCCAGAAGTTGTGAATGTTCCAACACTTGGATAACAACATATTTGTCTGAAGTGGTGTAGGGTTTCCTGCCTGAGCAGAGGCTTGGACTAGAGGACCTCCAAGGTCCCTTCTACCTCTGTTATTCTATTCTATCCTATCTCTGAGAGATCATGACCTGGCAAAAATCACTCAGCTGGCTGTCATGCCTAAAGTGGGACTAGAACTCACTGTCTCCAAGCGATTGGCCCAAAGTCAACTAACTAGCTTTTATATCTAGAGCAGGACTAGAACTCATTGTCACTTAGTGATGATTGGCCCAAAGACACACAGCCAGTATTTATATCTAAGGCAGATCTTGAACTCATGCTTAACCACTGGAAGTAGCTTATCAGTTTCATGTATTTTTACGAAAGTGCAATTAATATAAAATTTATATTATAGTGTTTATATTAGTGCAATTAATGTGTGTGTGTGTTTGTGTGTGTGTGTGTATTAAGTGTTATGTCAAAGCACCTGGTATGCCCAAATATGGGAGGGAGCATAAACGAAACAATGAATACGTTTTCTTATTTCTCACCGTCTCCTTGTGATGGAGAACTATTCCATTTCTTCAGAAAACCATCAAGGAGTTTGTGTACTGCACTGTGGCTTGGAAGAGAATATTCAGGCTTGGAGTGTATACTTTGACATCCCATTTCCTTATTTCCAGGCACCAGCAAGGCTACTGCCTATGTTAGCCAGAAGTCCTTCAATCAAGCCCATCAGATTCCAAGAATGAAGGAGGTCCCTCAACCCAGCAGGGCTTTGAAGACAGCCCAAACCCACAGTAAGTCGAGACCACAAAAACACCAATCCAGTGTACGCCCAGCAATATGAGTCAGACAAAATTTTTAAAAAAAATTGAGACCAATCCAGGGTTGTCATAGAAGCCGATAAAACTTGAGCCATCACAGACAAGTCAGCAAAAATTCAGAGACCTCCTAAAGTCGCAGCATGGATCCGCAAGATTATGGGTTGCATTTTGTCCTGGAAGGATAAAACTGATGTGGTGTCAGATGTGAAAGATGAGGTCCGGCCATGAAGGTCCAATTAAATTGATTTATTGCTACTTACGCCTATGCACTGGATTCTTCTCGACTAACAGTTAGCATCTGCTTGGAGTTAGATAAGGATTTGTGGAATTCAAAGGAGATTGGACTTACCGTATTTTTCGGACAATAAGAAGCACCTTTTTCCCTCAAAAAAGAGGATGAAAATCTGGGTGCGTCTTATACATTGAATACAACATTTATTTTTGCCTCCGGAAACCCTGCCCCCTTTGCAAAAATGGCCGTGCATAGCCTTTAGGAGCCTTGCAGAGAGCGTCTGGGGGCAGGAGAGGGCAAAAATAAGCGAAAAATGGGCTGGTTTTTTGCTCGTTTTTGCCCCCCGCAGCCCCAAGGAACATTCTATAAGCTTCCTAAAGGCTATGTGTGCCCTTTTTTTGACAAAAAATGGGCCCATTTTCACGAAAAATGGGCCGTTTTGGGGAGGTCTGAAGAGTGCAGAAACTTTTTTTTTTAAATTTGCCTCTTCAAAATCTTGGTGCGTCTTATACTCCGAAAAATACGGTAGTTGCTTGTGACTACGTAGGGATTCTATCCCTCTTTTAACTCCTCTTTCTGGCACTCCTTCTTTTACACATGGATGGTTACAATTGGATTTATTCTCCTGCCCAGCTTTAGGGAAGCCTGTTTTTCCCAATTATAGCAATAGCCTTAGACTTATATACCGCTTTACAGTGCTTTACAGCTCTCTCTAAGCAGTTTACAGAGTCAGCCTATTAC